TTTCCATAGGACTGATGTGAGGACAAAATTGTATTATAATTATTAATTATTATGTCTCACAATTTTGTAGGTTGATTGGGTGGTTCTTTTGCTTCACGTGTGCCAGCTGAGGCCCAGGGATGGCTGGACAGTCCAAAATGGCCTCGCCCGAATGACTGACAGCTCTGACCACCAGCTGGGAACCCAGCCGGAGCTGTTGGCCAGGAAGCTCGGTTCTCCTCCACGCACCTCTCCACAGCATGGCTGTGAGGGGTATTCCAAGAAGCGAAGACAGAAGCTACGGCTCTCTTAAGGCCCAGAAGTTACCCAGTGTCACCTCCATCACATCCGATTGATCATTACGAGTGTGAGGACCAGCCCCAAGGATTCAAGGCAAACGGACTCTGCCATTGGTGTGGACCTAGCAAGTTCCCCTCACAAAAAGACATAGAAGGTAGGGGATAGCTTTGCAGCTACTTTGAAAAGACAATTTCCTACAGATGGACTTCCACGGTGCCTGACACACAGAAACCCATCGACAATGTTAATTTCATTCATTCAGTTAGTCCTTCATTCCACACGCATTCAGTAAGGTCTCGCTGTGTGCCAGCCTTTACATCAGGCTCTGGAAAGATGGCATTGGTTCCAACCATCAGGGAACTCACAGTTCCAGGTAGGAAACAGACCAGAAGCATAATGACAGCACAACATGCCAGAGGAATACATGGGGATCGGCAAGTGAACTCAGGCTGGGCCAGCGGGCATCAGCCTGGGAGGCTGGCTGGCTCTGCTGGGAAAGAGAAGTTCTTTTCACAGGAATGTGAGGCTGGCAGCAGGGCGCCTGGAGCTGCTGGAGGCAGCCCTGCCATCACATGGCATGTGCCGGTGCCCATCTTGCCCTGTGCGGGGAGGGCGTGTGACAGACGTGCCAACCAAATTTCCTATCTTGCTACAGTAATTTGGCTTCAGGTTTCCCTCACTCCTTATCAAAGAGATTCCTACAAACTCCCCATTCTGCAACACTCAGAGCCTAACGGAAGGGACCCACATCCAGCAGATAACTATGCTTCAGCATTGGAAGGGAGAAAACAGAGACGTGCGTGGGGTATTTGGAAGAAAGGAATCAGGTCCATTTTCTTGGAGGTAGGTAAAGAAGTTCTGGAACATTTCCTGGAGGAGGCCCCCTACCCACACACCTACCACAGGGCTGGTCACATTGACAGATGCTCTGTATGTACCAGCGCAAGAAATGGCAGAGTCTTAAGACAAAACTGGTAGACACCAGGTAATCCCGTTTTAAATCTGCCCCCTTCCTAACTTCCTACATTCAGAGGTTTTAAGAATTGGCCACCCTGGTATCTGTGTGACAGAAACAGAATCTCCTTAGCAAAAGCAGAGTCTTTTAATAGACCTCCAGAGGTTAATGGGCCTGACAGATCTTTGACATTTATTGGATTTTACGAGCTACCGGATCCGACTCAGAAAGCTGATCAGATGTTTCAAATCGATGGCCCCTTTGGGGTACTGTCTTCTTCACACAGAACCATAATGAGGTGACCTTGGATGCCTGAGTCCTGAAAGAACAGACAGAGGATGTCAGAATCCTAGGAACTGCTTAACTGATCAAGGCCTACACAGTGCCCCCGGGGTCCCTCCGGACCCAAGATGCTATGCGTATAGATTCTGTGATCACACATCCCTTCCATCTCACCCTGCCTGAAGAGCTACAAACCCTAGTCTCCTTTTTAAAAACCCCTTCCCTCATTCCACAAACATCTGCGGACAAGCTTCATTGTGATGTCACTTAATAAACGAACACTTCCTGGACTGCTGCCCTGCCCCAGGCACGGTTCAAGCAGAGGGGACCCAGAGAAGACTGTGACATGTGCCCCGCTCTCCAGCAGCTTAGAGTCCTGTGGGGGAGTGTTACAGAGACCCAAAGACCCAAATCCTGCTTGTGCCCTGCGATGGGTCTGGCAGAGGGGACCACAGAGTCTGCTCTAACACGTTGTTTCCTAATTGGTTGGCCACAGGACTCCCGAGCTGTGGTGAACACGTGTCATTCTTCCTGCCCAGATTCCCCTCTTCTGGAAACGGTACCCTGATTTCTTTTGGGGAACATCTCCTCCCACTTGGGTCCTTGTGGCTTTACATCATCTCAGAGCAGGCTTCTCTCTCTATTCTGTGTAGTCACGTGTGGCTCATCTCAGTTACAGAAATGCCTGGCAGACACCCACGGTCCTGGGGGATGGGGGAAGGAACACTTATTTAGGGGCCAATGGCTGTCCCTCTTCAAATCCTATGGGACAAAGGGACAGGAGGGAGATGGGCAAATGTGCATAGAAGCCATTGGTAACTGATTATTCGTGTGGGCAACTCATTTGGGGGAGAATTTGCCATTTCATGAGTCTACCTGGTGGGCAGAGACCACTGCTCACTACAAAAGCTGAAATTCACTTCCCAGCCTGCCTTGTAGCTAGGGAGATGGCACGCGAGCTAGGCTTCTCCTATCAGACGTGCCCCCTCGGGACATTAGTGTGGGCACTAGCGACACAGAGAAACAGGGACTGTATGATAAAGACAGTGGCCAGGAGCTGAAACCATTTTCAACACCAGCCCCCGCATGCAGGGTCCAGCCCTGCCAGCGTTGGTGGTGCTGGCAGCAGTGTCTCAGCCCAGCAGAGGAACAGCTGTGTAGTCTGGAAGCTGGTCCTAGCTGAGTGAACTCCAAGCCTGGATCTCTGGCCCTCCAAAAAGACTCTGGAAGTTAGCCAACAAGCAACCTTTAAGAGATAGTTTTCTGCTTCAGCTGGCCAGGTTTGGTTCCTGGCTCTGAGCAGGGGCAGAGAATACAGAGCTGGCCCTGAGCAAAAGGATGCAAGATCTGGTGAGGTTCTCCGGAGCTCGCCTCACCTGTCTTTGACAGCAGCCTGACCGCTGGACACCAAAGAAGAACTTGAATTTCTTGCACGATTCCCAGGGAGGGAGAGTTGGAGCCAGGAGAGAGATTCTGAACCTTCTGCCAAATTGGGCAATGGTGGGGGCCCTGGTATCCATGGTAAAAAGACAAGTGACCTCTTTTGTGCACCAGGATAAGGGAAAATTTAAACTCTTCCCTTTCAATACTTTAATAAACGTGTCTTCAGAGGTGAATTTCAAGCACCTGTGGTTAGTTGGAGGCGGGTGGGAAGAAGGATGTGAAAATGTGGGACAATGGAGTCTCTGGGCACCAAGTAAAGGATAAATCGATTGCCTATTCCATTCACTGGCCCTAGGGCTAAGGGAACTGGGCACATGGGTTAAACGGGTCACCACGGGCCCTTCATGAAGAGGAGGGCAGAGGAGCCCTGGGGTTCAAAGAGTCCCTGGTTTCCCCTGGCTGCAGCCCCTTCTCTGCCAGCACATGCCACAAAGTCAGGCTTCCAGAAAGCCTCGGGCTTTAAAAATGCAGAGTCTGGTGAATTCCAGGCATTCTGAGCCACTGTGCAGACAGCACCCTCCGTGTTCCAGCTAGGAAAGCCCTCTGAAGGCTCTCCTGGAATTCAACTTATTTGTCCGTAGGTTGTTCTGAGATTTTGAGTGGAGAATCAGAGTCTTAATTCAGAGAAGCCAAGCGTATACATTGAAAATGTCAATAAGCCAAAGCTCGTGATTGCTACGCCAAGAGAAGGCAGCCACCCCACACACAACTCAGCTCTAAATTTACAACTGCAGCCAACTTCTGAAGTTCAAGTCCTCCTACGAGGCCAAGGTTGGGGGCCCTGGCTAAAGGGATTAGTTATTTTTTGGGCTGTGATTAAAAGGTTCTAAAATTGCTTGTTTTCTATGTTTGTGCAATTCTGTGAATCAACTAAAAATCATTAACTCGTCCACTTCAAAAGGGTGAATTGTACGGTATGCGAACTATATCTCAATAAGGCTGTTACCACATTACATAAAAGGAACACAGAGAGGACGGACTGGGTTGAAAGCTCAGCCCTACTACGCGCCAGCTGTGGGATGCGAAGCTGCCTTCCTAACTTGGCTGAGCTTGGTTCCTCAATCTCTAAAGGGATACGAAATGATCAGATTATACTTTCGCTGGGGACTCAATATGAAGGGGACCTGAGCAACCATCTGTGACATGGCCTGACCCATGGGTCACACTCAGGGAATGTGTGTCTTATCAAGTCCCTGTTACGTACCAGGCATTGGGGACATAGAGACGAATGAGACTTCTCTCCTGCCTTCAAAGAGGAAGCAGGTTAGGGTGGGAGACAGGCAGTGACATTACAGTGTTACAGGTGCTGTGATTCAGAGACCGGACTATGCAGGTGAGACGGGCCGGAGGGCGCAGGGGGGAGAGATGTCACTCCTCAGACACACCTTCCCTGACCCCTGATCCCACCCCCTCAGCACCGTCCGTCTCATCACCCTCCGCGCCCTCTCCGTGGCGCTGCCAAGTGTATTCTTGCGCTTTAACCCGGTTGCTTCCCTCTTGCCTATGTCTCTCCACCCAAACTGGAGACTGCATGGCTCCAAGGGGACGGGAGGGGAGGGCAAGTGGCAGGAGACGAAGATGGACACACAGGTGGGGCAGCCCCAAGACAAGACCTGGCTCTCAGTCTGGAAGGGGGACCCTGACCACTGCCGCGTCCCCCACCCTGTTGGCTCCAGTCTGTGAAAAACGCCCCACAGATCCCGGTGGGCGTGCTGAGTGCAGCCTGTGTGTTTCTATAGTAACCGTCACCATGGCACCAGAGGCCTGGATCCAACTTCCGGCATTGCTGAGGCCCTGAGCTCCTGCCCCCTCCCCCCAGCATCCTCCATCCCACAACACAGAAAGGAGACACGGCTGGGCATTCACACTGGGGGTGTGCAAGGAGGGCTGGACCCAGGTGCGGGACACGGGATGTCAGGATTAAACATCAGATACATCGCAACGGATGCACCTGCCAAGGGCGGATGCAGCCTGAGCATTTACCAGCAATTTCAATTTGCATGGCTTTGTCCAGGCAGGGGGTGGGGAGTTGGGTTCGAACATGCAGCAAGCGGTGGAGCAGGCCAGCCTCCGTGTGGGCCGGCAGGGTGGGGCACGGCGTTCAGGGCCGGGGGCCTGGAGAAATCTCATCTTCATCAACTCCCAGACCCATAGCCTCACTCTGTAAAATGGGGAAGATAAACAGTGACAGTATCAGCCCATTCCAGATACCAAAGAAATGAGAACAGTGCCTTGTCCTGATCGGTGCCTGATAAATATTTAGTGAGTGAATTAAATAAGAATAATTACTATCATTTCTCCGTCAACAAAGCTCCAAGCCCTGGTCCCCTTCTCCCTTCACTCTCCTCCCAGCTCCACGTTCTGTTCAAACCCAGTTCTGTCACATGAGCTTCAGATCATGTTCTCTGCTAAGCCCCAGCCTCTCAAAAGAGGCCTCACAGGTTCCTGAGTCACAGACATGAGTTCTAATCCAGCCACTGTGTCCTGCTGGCCTTGTGACCCCAGGCACGTTGAGTCATTTCTCAACAGCCTGCTTCCACTGAGATCCCTTAAGCTGTGAGACTCAGAAACCCAACCAGACTGGTTTCAACCCCCAAGAGAGGGTGAGGTTAGGGTTCCAGGCTTAGCAAATCAAGAAACAGGATGCCCAGTTAAATGTGAATTTCAGATAAATAAAACAAGCAATTTTTTAGTATAGGTATGTCTCAAAGATTGCACAGGACATACTTAACAGAAGAAAAAGAATCATTGTTTGTCAGAAAGTCAGATTTAACCGGCCAACCTGTGTTTTATCTGGCTACCCTGGATGGGGTGGGTACTTAGAACTCATGAAACAAACTGAATCGGGAAGTCCAAGTAGCGTCACAAGGACTGCCTCTCTCTCCTCCTCTTCCCATCTCTGGCTTTGCTTTCTGCAGCCTTGGTCAGGCTCACTCCTTGTGGCGGCAAAAACAACCACCAGCCGTGCCCTCTCCTTCAGACTGGTTATGCAGGACAGCCTGGCTGCCTCCCATCCTGGGCCCCTGCCGAGCCCCAGACCTGCTCAGTGACCTCCCGTCCGCCACACTGCAGTCAGCACTTGCTCCCTGAGACGGCTGTCCAGCGGGGGCCAGCACCTCCCTGTCTCGGTGTGGCCTAGCCCTGCCCACTCCGGGTCCCACTTCTCACTGCTGCCCGCACCTCCCACCCCGCTCAGGCCTCTCCCTGCCCCACCAACGGGCCCGGCCTCCTGCCCTCTGGCCTTCACACACACGCTATTCCCCTCCCAGGAGTGACCTTTACTCTCCCCTTCACCCACTGGTTCCTCCTCCCTGCTCAGACCTCGGTGGACATGGCAGCTCTTTGGAGACAGCCCCCAACCCGGGCATCCAGAGCCGGCTCTCCACACCAGAGCTGTGTTCGCCAGAGCCGCCAAGGCCCACAGCACCCGGGTTTGGGCCAGGACTTTAAATAACAACAGAAGCCCCATCTGAAGGAAGCAGATGCAAGTCGGCTCCGGCCCCCCGTCAGGCTCAGGACTGTCAATGCTTTGGACTTTCCCAGAGAACAGGAAACCTGAATACGAATGGAACTCCCTCAGTTTTGAGTGCTGGTCCTGTTTGTGACCTCTGGACTAGATGGCCCAGCCCTGTGATCTAGGGCAGGGCTCTCAGAGGTATTCCTGGCACCCCCACCCTCCTGGGGGCACTATTTAAGTTGCATTCTCTGGCCCCCTCAGACTCTCGGGAGCCAGCACCCAGGAATCTGCATTTCGGCAAGCACCCTCAGATCGTGCTTACGCTCACTCAAATTTGAGAACTACAAATTCTGGATTTTCCATGTTCAATGGGGTCCTGCCCCTCATTTGCGGCCATTACAGTCGGGGCAGAGGAACCTCCCCTTTGGCGTTTTCTGCCCTGGCCATGCCACCCCCTACCCCCACTGCAGCCTCAGAGCACAGCAGGTGACGGGACCAGAGCTTCATGGGGCAGGAGCTCCTGCCAAATGCCCATCCCTGTGCCGATTTTGTTAGCACAACCTGGAGGGCAGGGATCGCAATGGGAAACTGGAGGCTCCAGGAGGGAGGTCACTTGACCAAGGTCACAAAGCCATCGATGGAGGATCTAAGGTTCAAATCCCAGTCTGCACAGCTTCAGGGCGCCCTGGGGAGTTCCCCATCAGGCCAAACTGTCTCTCCCCAAATGGAAACGGGGGAAGGTAATCACGATGTTAAGAGAAGAAAGCTCCTCTTTCTTCCTGATGAGCAGCTCCCACCACCAGGGCAGAGCGCTGGTCACCTGTGCTGGGAGGGGAAGGAGGTGGCAGTGTCCTGAGGAGGGAGGAGGAGGGTAAGTGGCTTTGATAAGAGCAGACGGCTCCTGGGGACAGGACAAGAGCTGCCACAGACATCAGCTCTGATGGACTCCCACCTCCCTAGTCACTCGCGGCACCTCACAGAGACAGGGATGGTGGCTGCCCGCCTCTGTCCTTCACCACTCAGCCCTCACGTGCACTTCCCATCGAGTTTAGCTTCGGCCAAGTATGGTCACTGCAAAGTCTTAAGCCACAGAAGCCCCACGCAACCAGTAGCTGGGGGTCCCACAGCGCTTTGCCTGGGTTTCCATCCCCAGCTCCGCTGACCTGGCACAGTGCACGTGCTCATCCTCTGGCCATAAGGTGGAGACTCACAGTGAGCACGTACTGAGCACCTGCTGTATGCTCTGTGCTGCACTAGGCACAAATGACTGGAATCGTGGATGCACTGCTTTAACAGAACCAAAAAGCCTCATTGTCCCCAAGGTGCTCTGGGGATAGAAGCGGGAGACAGCTCACTTTACCTGGGGAGGAATCCGGGGAAATTTTGTGAAGGAAGGGGCCCTAGAGCAAGGATGGGAAAGGTGGGTTGGATCCGAGTACACAGAGATGAGAGGGCAAGGGCATTCTCTGAGGCACAAACTGTGTGCGAAGGGAAGGAGGCAGGTCCCAGCCCAGCCAGTTCTGCCTCCTCGCACTTCCTGTCTGCTCCCTTAAACCTGGTGCTTCTCAAACGGAAGTTATGCGTGGAAACCCCTCACATTTGGCTACACCCGTGTGGAACCTGTGCTCTTGTATAGCTCACATTTTTCCTTAAGTCGACTCGCCAATTTCTATTTTGTAAAATTTATGTTAAGAAGAATCTTTCTCTCACAATAGCAACTGGAAAAGAGGCTTCAGTTGCTATAGATAGACGGTCCCCATAAAAATAAGAATGTTGAAAGCAAGATAATGCTGCCGAAACCCAGCCAGGGTCTGCAGCTCCAGGAGATGCAGAGTCTGCAGCCTGCTCTCTCGTCACCATTAAAAAGAGAGACTAGCCAGTGTCAGAGAGGCGTTAGGGACACCCCAGCACCCGCCTGAGACCGTCCTGACATGAGGGTTGAGAGAGGCTGGAAACAAGGGATTCCCTCCAGCGCTCTGTGTGCGTCCCCCACTAAAGAACCCCAAGATACTACTGGCATCCCCCACACTTCGAGAAACTCTGTCCCAGCCAAAACCTGCACCAAACCCCAACCGTGTGCCTCCACCATTTCCTGCAGATGTCAGCCTGTGACTCGCTGGAGACCCTGAACTCCAGGGCTGTACCCGGGACCTGCCGTGGTGTGTGAGCACTTGGCATCATGGCAAAACCCACACGCCTGGCAACAGCACCACCACAGCTAACATTTCCATTCCTCTTACCGCACCAGACCCTACTCTAAGCATTTACACATATTGTTACTCTGTCCTCACAAAACCATCAATGACACGATGCCGTTACAATTCCCATTTTACGGATGAGAAATCTGAAGCACAGGAAGGTTAAATACCTGCCCGAGAGCAATTCCATCCTTTGCAGAAATTGGATTCCCACACACAATCTCACTTCTTTATTCATTCTTTCATCCAGCCATTGAACAAATATGCATTGCATATCTTCTACTTTTTCTTTGAAGCAATACTTATTTTGTTTTTCAAATGAAATGCTGCTTCCAGCTCCCCACATGCTTTGACTCGCATCCCTCAGTTCCCTGTGTCCTCAAACGGCCTCCAGTTGCTCCAGGCTGTGCCTGATGCAGCGCCCAGGGGGCCCAGGGGGGCTCAGGCACTGGCTCGTCTGGCTTCCAGGGGTGTTGTATGCTGATGGCCCTCCCTGAGCCCTTCGGGGATCCCACCAGACTGAAGAGAACCAGCAACCAGGAACTGACCGTTGTGGGGGAACAGAACGGAAGCCCCTGGATTCAACTCAGGTCAATTCCGGGGGTCGCCCCAGCTCCCCGGGGGACGGGCTGAGGCCTCTGCTGCATCCCAGGCCAGCTTCTGCTCGCTCCACTCCCCTGGCTCCCCCCCCAGGTGTGGTTCTTGTCCCTCCAAACACCATCTGTCTCAGAGTCTGTGGCCTGAGAAAGTCCACCTAAGATGCTGGACAGAAGCACTCGCCCCACCCAGTGCTGCAACCGGACTGTCTCCTCGACGGTCCCTCCCTAGTCAGACCCAAGCAAAGGGAGCCTGGGTGCGCTGCAGCCCAGGGTCACCTCAACCTCCACAAGCCCTGAAAGCTTCAGAGGTGGTTGGGTTTCTTTATTTATATGTTGCAGCACATTAGCTAATTAGCTTTGTTTCCAGGCTCCATTAATGTTTTCTCAAGTGTATCATGGCCTTGACTCGAATGACAGGCAGCCGCCCAGGCCGCCGGGGAAGATGCTGTCTTTCAGGCCCACGGGGATCAGCCCAGAAAAGGAGAGACAAGGAGAGGGGAGATTGGATTGCGGGGTGTCGGGGAAGGGTCACAGCTCCCCACCTCCTCCTGCCTTTGAGCAGGGAGAGTGGAATCAACATCCCCTGTCCTGCTGAAGGCAGCACTCCTGCGCCAGGCAGAGGAAGGCTCTCTCGGGGAGTGGTCCACCTTTGCTCTTCGTAAGTGGCCTGTCTTTAAAAACAGCCTACATCTGCCTCAGGCCTGACCCCTACCATTTCTTACATTTGATTGCAAATGCCTGTCTCAGCAACTCTGCAGCCTTCCCAGTCTGCCCTAAACCCAGCGACCCTGGCAGAAAACAAATGGAATTAGAACCTGTCGTCCGCAGGGATGATTTGGGACGTGGATGTGAGGACTCACGGATAATCCTACTTAGCGTAAACCAGGCAGCAGAACTTGGTTTGAGGGAGCTCCCAGGTCACTTCTAGGCTTAGAGTCACAGGAGAGAGGACCAGGCAGTCCAGACACTGTCCTTCAAAGCACAGAAAAACAGAGCGACACAGGGACAGGGCATCACCCCCAAGAGCCTGGACTCCACGCCTAGTTCATGAGTACCTACTATGTGCCAGGCCATGAGCTAGCGGCTCTCAAAATCTTTGGTCTTTACACACTTAAAAATGATTGAAGACCACAAAAAAAGCACTTTTGCTTATATTTATCATATAAGAAACTAAAATTGAAGAATTACACAAATATTCATTCATTCATTTCTTTAAAAATAACAGTAACATGGTTACCAATGGGGAAAGGACGGAGATAAATTAGGAGTATATATAAGGTTAACAGATAAAACCACTATACATAAAATAGATAAGCAACAGGGAACTATATTCAGTATCTTGTGATAGCTTATAATGGAAAATAATCTGAAATATATATATATATAACTGAATCACTTTACTGTACCCCTGAAAAAAAACTGATTAAAACACAACAAACCATGACATAGTTACATGTAACATACTTTATGAAAATAAACCATTTTATAGAATGAAGATATTTCCTGAGAAGAATGTCATTGTTTTATATATCCGTAAATCTCTTTAATGTCCAGCTTAATCAAAGACAGCTGGATTCTCAGATCTACTTCTGAAATAGGCAAGAACAAATCTGACTCCATACTGGATCCATTTCTTTTACTTTTACCCTTGCATTCTATTACTTTTGCTACAAGTTAATCACTAAAGGGATGTTGCCCATAACCTTAAGTTATACGGAATGGCCCATCTCTGGGAACCCTGCCACCCAGGCAAGGAGCATTAAGCTAAAATCCTTTTGTTTAGCTTACAGGAAACGTCCTGACCGGGCCTACCCATGAATGACTGCAGGAAGGAAGAAACTAACTCGCCCTCCAGAGGCTGACTGGAACCAAGAAATACCTGACTTCATTACCTCCCCTTTCAGTATAAAAGAAGCATGAATTCTAACTCAGGCAAGATGGTTCTTTGGGACACCAGTCCACCATCTTCTCGGTCTGCTGGCTTTCTGAATAAAGCCACTATTCCTTGTCCCAACAATTCGCCCCTTGGTGTATTGGCCTGTCATGAAGTGAGCAGTATGAGCTTGGACTCTGTAATACCTCTGCATTCAGTTTGATGGAATATCTTGTTCTGGTTAAAATGTATAAAGAAAATCTGACCTCACACAGGTATGTGACTGGAAAAGGGAGAAGTATTTTGATCCCCTTTTCAGATGATGATGGATATTCTTTGGTACTACACCAAAACTTGACAAGCGTTAGGGGCTGCTGCAGTGGGAGGTCCAAAACTACACTGATGAACTTTTCTACTCTGTCACATTAAACCCACTGGTCTGTCTTGCACTTCGAATGGATCTTTCACTCAGGCATAATTTTATAACATTGTTCATTTGAAAATGATTGCTTCACTGACTCAGATAGACCTTCCAAATACTGACACATTTCATTACATAGTGTCAAAAATTCCAATTCAGAAGCATCACCACAGTTCTCATCAGAGACTGTTTCATGAGAAGATACCAAGCTCAGAGAGGCAGATCAAGTTTTCCAAACTTCTGATTTTCCCTTCACAGCTGGAGTTTTACCACTGGAGACAAATGCCATTTGCTTTCCTTAAGGTGACAGGCTCACTTTGAGAAACATCTGCCAAATATCCAAATCTGAAAACCATGGTGTGTCAGTTGTCCTTTCAAGGAAAAATGGCATGCCAAGAAAAAAGTGACCAATCCAGCAGACAATTCAATCACGCACGTGTTTTCCTGACCTTAACCTTCAACTACCGTGATTTGGTATGCAGCAGAAATGCTTTATATGTAGCTTCTTTTTTTTTTTTACAGATCGTTAAAAAGGCAGGTATTCAAGGGCAGAGATTTCATAACCTTAATCATTTTACTGCTTCATTTAGGACGTACTTAAGTGAAACTGGTATGTGTTTTAATGAAAGTGTGTGACGCTGAAAGACAATGATTCCTTATACATTTTGGTTCCACTTCCTTGATTTGCACTAAGATGCCAGCAGTTTTGCTCACCACTGGTACAAACTTCAACGGGATGAAAAGTGCAAATAATGTCTCAGAGTTATTATGAAAAAAAGTTTTGACCTTAAGAACCCCCTGAAAGAGTCTGGGGGATCTCCAGGAGTATGCAGATTACACCTGCAGCACTGCCAAATGAGGGGGGGTCTCTGCACCAGAAACTCCCAATCTGGCTGAAAAGGTCGACCATAAACAGACACAATTACCACACGAGATGATGAGGACCAGGATGGAGGTATAGCAAAGAGAGTGATCTGATTTGCACTGGGGAAACTGGCAAAGGTTTTACAGGGTAGGACACCTTTGAAATGGGTCTTGAGGGTTGAGCAGGAGTTCATACAGAAAAAGGTGAATTTTTATACTCCAAGTTTCAGAAGGACAGGTCCTAGGGAGGTAAGGCTTTTTGAAGTAGGTACCAAAAAATAAAAAATAAACAAGAGAGTTCATATTATTAATAAATAATGTTGACTACCATCATGGAACCCCCACCACGTACCTTACACTTTATGTATGTTGTCCTGTTTAATGTTCTCCAAAAACCTCTGAAATGCATGTTAAGTATTCTCCTTGTTTGGAGAAGTTGGGTAGCTTCCTCAAGGATACAGAGCAAATTCGTGGGGAAAATTAAGGGTAAAGCCAGACCACCTGACTCCAGAGGCCGCTTTTGTTCTTCTTTCCCTAAACCAAGAGGAAGAGCCCTGTCCCACGCCTCCACTGCTCGGAACCTACAGCTGACCTAAAACGACCTCGTCCCTTCCACTCGGCATTCAAGGCTTCCCAGCCCAGCTCTACCTCCCTTGTCTAGCCCTGCCTTCTTGGAATCCCCAGTCCAGCCACAGTAGGATCCTTTCCTTTTATCCAGACTTGCTTTGGGCCTTTCTTGAGCAGTGCCCTCCACCAGGAGTCCCTATTGCCTTCCCCTTCCACTGGGATCTACTGTTGGAACACTACCAACCTTTTCAGGCCCAGACAACCTCTCCTTTCTAATCGTCTGCATCTCCTATCTGTGTTGACGTCATGCATCATGGTCTGCCTGAAGCTGATGATCGATTTATTTACCCACACTCCTCAAACCTCATGACCCCATCACTGGACTGTAGGCTCCTTGATGGCTGGGACCACACTGGTCTAAGAACATTACCTCTTGGTCCTTGCACTTGCCCTTTAAGCCTCCATTTCCCCTCTGTAAAATGGGGATGCTAGCACCCTTCCTCGTAGAGTTGTGGTGAGGATTAAATGCATTAACGTACGTAAAGTGCTGAGAAAACCACCTGGCACGAAGGAAGGACACAACCAGTGTGAAGGGCTTTGCTGTTGTCAGG